CCAGAGAAAATGAATAAACAAATAATAAAAACTAAAAATACTGAAAAACAATCTGCACCGTCAGTGATCAAGATCAAAGAATATTCTGACAAAGAGTTGCGTGCAAATAATTCCAACAGAAACTCAATTACAGACAGTCCACTGATTGGATTGGATGTTTAATTCATCGGAACGCGTGAGAGAATGATACATTATTCCGATGGAATTGTTAGTTCCATTAATGATTAATTAATTAGGGACGAGTAAAACGTTCTCCATAGCATGCCATAAATATTGTTTCTAAATTCTGAGCGGAATAATTGGAGTATCATATTGAAAATAGTTAACATGATATGAGGATTTTAATTGAACGTCGAAGCGGCAAACATTTACATTGAAATTACTCAATCCCAACTGTTTAATTATTCAATACGGTGACATACGACGTCTACAATTGCGCAAGTCGCATTCATTCCGATGACGTTCATGTGGAGTACATATTCATATCGCTATTGTGGGTTATGGAAAAAAACCAGCGCTCAATTTAAAAAAGTACTGTCTCTTGTGTTGAGCAGATGCTGCGGGGGAGTTCATTTTTCAGTCATAAACTTTAAGTAGCTCCTATCTCCCGGGAGATATATATTTCTACAGATTTTTATCTCACCGTTATTAATGATTCAATTCACTGGTAAAATGGTGGAGCAGAATATATCATTTTCACTTTGGGATTAATATTTTTCTGGAAATTTCAAATTTCTAATTAAATCAGAGAAAATTCCATTTTGTTTAATTGTTACAGGAATATTCATTTATTTCAATTACATCGGATGGAAATGAGATAGATATGCAAAACCTGAAGAGACGAATAATTAATATTAATCAATATTAATATTTTTCCGGAAATATCGCGATGAAAAATCGAATCGAATCGAAAAAAAAATTTATGAAAAAATCATAAAACCGAATGAACAACTCCAAAAATCTAAATCACACGTGAATAAAATAAAAATGCGAAAGATCTAGAAATGAAAGATTGTGTTATTCCACCACTTGCACTAGCCTAAATTAAATGAAATGATATCAAATAAAATGGTATTCCTGGGCAAAGGGAAATGGAGTGATATAATTTTGTGTGGCAACACCGTCGGACGAAAATGGAAAAAATCGACTGAATCACCATCTAAATCAAGATAATATAAGATTAATAAAATATATTCTTACCAACGACCTCGAGAAACAGAAATATACTCGTGGGTGGATGTGTAGAAACTTGGCACTCGTACATACCAGCGTCCCTTGGTTGAACGTACTTTATTTGAAGGGTCCAATCCTCACTATGATGAAAGTGGATAGCCTGGAAACGACCGTCGCTGGCGTACGTTGTCAGACCGACGGTTAGTAATTGATGTTGTATACTCTTTCTCCTGATCCAAGTGACCTACATAAATCAAAGCAATTTCCACTGAAAATAATGAGGACCAAACCAAATAATCCCTTCAAACTTCATTCAACTCTTGACTAATAAAAATATAACATTGTCAATTAAGATAAATTGGTTGAATTATTTATTCTCAATTTATCGGAAATTTAATAGAATTTATGTTTCGGTGATTTGAAGATTTTTATTTCATGCAGTGGAAGGAAAATAAATTACTGTTCCCTCTCCGATGCTGTGGACGATGCAGGGTAGGAGAGCAGTGGATCCTGATTGTGCAAGAATTCTGGTAGAATTATCAGTCCCAAAATTCATAATTGGGGCCTTGATAGTAGAGAAATCAGGATTATTCACAGCGTTGTTAACACCACTTCGACTCTGATGAATCATCTCTGCTTCAACGTACGTCGACGTGTATTCTGTACAGATTATTTATTTTCTTTCTCAAAAATCAAATCCAATCGATACCCCAATAACCGATCAAAAAAGAATAAAATAAACGATAAAACTTACTGGTCTGCATGGCAACGTTCAGAAGCAGTGAAACGACTAAAATCCGCATTTTATCGTTTTTTTTTTCTCGTCTCCTTCCTCTAGTCTTTTTTTCTTCTTTCAGTCTTTTGTCATTCACCAACTCAATAGTTTTTCCGCTGCCGTCAGATCAACCTCCCCATCTCGTTTATTTTTCTTCATTTTGGTTGAGTAAAAAGCCTTCTTCCCCCCACCCCTGGCTTTCCAAAAAAAACGGGGAGAAATTTTATTTTAAAGTTGAAATCCCCCGGGTTGTCACGACTCACTCATAAAATATCTGCAACAAAATAAAACAGTTTTTGGATGTATTGGACATTTTTCAACTTTGAATATGTTCGATTGGGCAAATAAATTTGATTTATTATATCGGTAAAGTGTGGATCGAATTGCGGTAAGGGTAGTGTAATACGAAACTACAACCGCACGGAAATATATTCCAATTATTTTCATCCCAGTTATAACGCATCGTTTATTATTATTTTCTCATTGGTGAAAAGCCGATTTCAACGAGTTTTACCTCCATACCCCAGCCACGACGCGTATTAATTCATTTCGATTTCTACTTTTCATTAATTAACTCTTTCGATATAATGGGAAATGCGAGGAATGATTTTCGTTTTTTCATCTTTTTTGTTTATTTTCTTTAATTGTTTTTTTAATCCGGATTACGCAATCCTCCAGCACCGATTTTTAATTAATAATCGGATATTTTTATTTTCACCGAAACACTCGACTCTTTTATTTCACCAAGATGTTAATTGTTAAATTTCAAATATTGTTTATTAAATAAATTCGTTGATATCATCGCTTCATTATAATAAAAATATTTTTTATGAGAATTTCTATTTTCTATATTTTCATTTCGGAAAAAAATTTTTTAAAATCGATTGAATCGATTAACAAAAAAAAACATTAAAAATGCTTTAACAAATAATTATTATATTATTATTATTATTGTAATAAATTTCCAGATATTCGACTTGTTGAAATAAATTGGTATTCTTGAATTTATATTTAATCCATTGAAAAATGCGTCTTTTTGGTATTTTTTTTTTCTGGATGATTCAAAATAATTTGAATGAGAAAGACGAATGGCGGAGGGGAAAATGGCGTATGAGGGTGGCCAGAAGCGGTTCAATATCTGGGGATCAATTGGAATTAGATGACGAGGATTTCGCACAGATGTCAGGAGAAAAAGGGCATATCGATTTTTTTTTTTCTCGATTATTTGATCCGGGGCAGAATGGATGGGCCTAGATTGGAATTCAGTGATTTTCACGTGATTTTTTACGCTGCAGAGATCAGGTTGAGCCCATTCATATCTTTTGGTCAGCAGATATTGAAGATTTAACGAGATCTGTTCCGTCTTTTGTCCCATCCCTAAGCCAATTTCATGAGATCTCGTTTCCCCATCCCTATCGCATCGCATCAATCTTGATTACTCCTTGATTACTATCAGGTACGTGGAAATCTGCGGCTATTTTAATTATTTAGATAAATCCCATATTTTTCTACCTTCTTCAATAAATTTCCTCTACATTCAATCCCTATTATCATTATTATTAATTATGATTCATGATTATTGATTATTATTGAATATTCTTATTATTTCACGTGACCTCTCCCCAATTTTTTATTGTAATTTATATTTATATTTTTTTATTCATTAAAACGAATCGTTTTATCACGAATTAATCACGCGTTTTATTTGATAATAATTAGTAACAATTCGTTGAACTTTTGAACATTCTTTTATTGCTAGAAAATATTCATTTGCAATAATAAATAATTTTGAAAATTCGCGCTGAATTCGGTAATTTTATGGGTGATTATCGCTTTCTGGAATTTTTACCGGAGGGAGAGAAAATGTAATTACTCCAATGAAAATTGAAATATTTTTGGAAAATTTTATCAAAGGCACGATTTTTCAATTATAAATTAATATAACTTTTCGTATATAATTATTCCGCAAACGACCGAGAATCGATGTAAATCGCTGGGTAAATGACACGTAACAATTTCCCACCTTCAATTATTGTGAAATTGTTTGAAATTTCCTTTGGTCTTGGACAATGGAGGACATGTGTTAACTTTCTGAATTAACTGACCGGTAACAGACGATTTAGTTAACAAAATCCGGTGCAACCGACCCTGAAATTTTAATTTCTATCCTGACAGATGTCTAGGGAATTTAGAAGATCGAGATTATCCTTTGTTCAAATAGCAACATAAACCATTGTCATTGTACTGAATTACGCATGGAGGAATTGAGTATATATATATATAGATGCACATAGAGATATTCTCCAGGACATTCATCAAAACCGAGGGAAAACCAGATTTTCAAATCCTGACAAAGAGAATCCTTGACACCCTGAAAGTTATAAATAATCATTTACAATTTTCATGAACCATTACATGAGCTTTATTTAATAAAAAAAAAAAAAATCCACGAAATTTCTCATTCAATCGCGAAAATTCCGGAAAAAGGGAAAAAATATTCAAAAAATGTGCAGTTGAATTTTATTTATTGTTATTAAATTCATGGATGGAAAATTCTCCATTAATTTCATATCACTTTGTTATTAAAAATTGTACATGAATTCTAGATTCGAAAATTACCAGGAAAAATTGATATCCCAGTTTTTCTGGTTGGCGGAAAATTCGAAAATTCGTTTCACGATAGAAAATGAATATTGGAAATATCGTATAATAAACTCCAGAAGATGTCGAGATTTCTCCGAAAACCTGAGGAAAAACCACTTGTCACCCTTTACCACATGACCACAGGATCGATTTCTCGCCACACCCTCACCAAAACTTAATAATCCAAACGATCCGCAAATTTTTTTTTTTAATTATCCAATCGCATCCGCAATTCGCAAAAAAAAAATCTACAAGAGGAATTGGATAATCGACAGGTGGACATCACATGAAAAGAAGAAAAATATAAAAATCTCATATTTGGAAATTGTAGAGATATTTCACCGGTGGAACGAGCCATTGTGGAGAATGTTAACGAGCTCTTCCAATTATTGCAGCAAAAGTTATTGAGTAAATCGTGTTAATTTGCGGGTTGAGAGTTGAAAAGTTTGTTCACGGGGAAAAGTAACTTGTGGAGGAACTACGGGCTATGAAAAAATATCCAGTGAAATAGTATCCACGGTAAATATAAGTAATTAGTGCAAAGATTAATTTGCGGGAGGTACATTTCAACAGAAATTCCAATTATATAAAATTTTCAAACAAAAATTCGATTCCATGTCCTTCAAATAGCGACTACCCTCCGAAAAATTAAGGAAAAATTACGATGAAGAGAAAAAGAGTTTGAAATAATTTCTTCCACAAAAGTTGCGGGGAATTGAATTTTTTTTTTCATCGACAAAAGTTGAGAAAATTTCATCAATTACTGTTATCCCGAGTTGAATTAATTTTTATCCGAGAAAGTAATGGTGTAACTTGATTCCCAGAAGTTCAAAATCTCGAGTGCAATTATTTCCACATGACAATTACGAATCATTTGAGTGCGGGTATAATTACGAAAAATGTCGACTGTCGGTGTGAGTGAAATTTATGGTAAAAGGAATGATAATCATTCGGTACTAATGCAAATGGATGTTCAAGGGAAAAAGGAAAAGACTCTAGTGCCTGTGTCACTCAGAATTATTACACGTAAAACAGAATTCGTATTTCAACCCCACGAGTCTCAACATAAACATTTGCCGAGTACACCAACTTCACACACAAGTGTGAGACTTCAATAAAAAAAATTCCCCTGATGTTTTCGCATTAAATTTCCCCCGCGGAAAAATCTCAACCGAAAAAAAAAAATGTGAACTGCGAATCCAATAACTTTTCCTCAGCTTCAATCGTGATTTATTCGCGTCTGGATGGAACGGAAAAATCGCTGTTTTTTTAAGGAATTATTGAGTTAGAATTTGCATTTTTCATCCGCAAAATTTCGACTGGAAAATTTACCGTGGAGCGATCAGGGAAATTCCCGTGTACATGTACATATATAATCATTGGAATATTATATGAGGTGGATCAAAGAGAAGTTCAATATTAGTCTGATCACGATATACTCGTTGAAGTTATACGAATCCCCTCTAAGTTCATTAAGGGAATATATTTTCGAGTACATAGAAGTCAGATATCCTTATCACACGCATCTCAGAATAGATACTCTTATCAAAGAATTATTTTTCATCTGAAACTTGAAAAATATCTGATTTCGCCTCTCTCCGTTCATCAAGGCCTTTGACATTTTTCCGGTAATAATATCAGGGTAAACCCGTCCTGATAATAAAATAGGAAACATCAAGTGAATCAAGTGAAATATTCTGTTGTGCCAAAAAAAAATAATCAGAATGAAAAAAAAGGAGATTATAATCTCTCCAGCGTAAAGATTGAAAAGGTGAGTTAATCTTTCACTCGGTTTTTTCAAAATATCTTGGAAACTGGGGGGAATAGAAAAATTATCGTAATGACCTTTTTTGTAGTTCACGAACAGCCCTAGAGAAAATGTTATAACGAAAATTTGACAATTCTCGTTCATTTGCGAGATATTTGTGAAAACCGCGAAGATTAATTCAGCAAGTGAAATTTTGGGTTTTTCTTCGATGAGTTTTTTTGGAATATTAATGAATAAACAAAATCTTTTGTTGGAAATGGATTTTATGATGAACGAAGGGAATTTCAAGATAAAAAGAAAATGTCAACGAGTGAGGATTTTACAGTCGCAAAAAGAATAATCCCCGTCATGATGAATTAGTAATGCCCGCGAAAGTACAAAAAAAAAATCGCGAAATAACACATGAAGAACTCGTAGACTTAAAAAAGTGTTATCTCACCAGAAGAATATCGATATTTCACATTCTCGAGAGAAGATAGCGCTGAGACAATGATAGAGAATGTATTTTCGTGAGTCTGTGGGAAAAAAATGGAGAATTCACTTTCGAAATGAAAAAGAAAAATGTTTTTCGACACAGACTCCGTAAAAAATGATTCTTCATTCAAGAAGCTGTTGAGTGAAAGCTCAAACTCTTATCGTACGAATGTTCGCTTTCCCTCTAAGAAGGATTCCAGAATGGAATGAATTGGAAGGATCGAAATGCTTTCAGCGACAGAAAGAACAGGATCCCCGATTGAAAGAGAAAAATCTCAAAGAGAATGGCAGCTCTCAAGAAACGGAATTAAAAAATATCGAATAAATTGTATCAATTCGCGATATTCGATTCGAGCTGCAGTTCAGCTTCAGAATATGGAAATTCGAGACTAAATAACTGGGGTATTCCCCGGAGAGTCAACGAAAGAATGAAGATAAATATCCAGATGATATTTCGTATTCAAATTTAAGATATCCTGGAAACAGAGATTTTAAAAAGTTGAATAAAATCAATATCTCGTAATGAAAAATTAATAAAGGAAAATGTTGTAAATAAATGGAGTTGTCAGAGAGAAAAAATAGCAGTGGGGATTTTTTTTTTTTGGAAGAGCTGTGATTTTTATAAATTTACACCTGCTCTGCCAAGAAGCGAGGGAAAATGTTGAAAGCAGTTGAAAAATTAATTAGTTAAGAATAAAAAAATCCATAGGACTGGGATACACCAGATTTAACTGGGTAAATCGTCTCTTCAGGAATTAACGTTGAAAATAATTTAATCCTAGGTTCAATGTAAATGGAGTAATAAGCGAATAAATAAATGCTATTCACGTTATCCCTGAATCATCCCCTAAAATAATAATACTGACTTGACCCAGTTTTTTTTTTCAGACATTTTTTTTTACATTTTCCCTGAAAACCTCTCACTTCGCGAATTAAGTAAAAAAAAAACTCTCGATAACGAGAAAAAAAAATCGCTGGAATGCAAAAGAAGATAAATTTACTCAACTCTTCGGCGAGTCGTTCTGAAATATCTCTGGAATTATGGGGGATGGGGAAATTTTTCTGGAGAATGTTGTTCAGGGATATTGCTGATGTGATATTGATAAAAATGATAATTTTGGATGAAATTCCGAGTAAACATTGAAATTTTAATAAATTGGGAGAATTGTATTGAGAAATTAATCAGGGACTTCATCGGGCAACAGAATAGAATAAAAACCTATATCAAGCCTTTGAATTCCCTGAATCAGCGGTGAAAAACTTCTGGAATAAAATATCCTCTTCCCTGGTGACATTATCTCTTTATTCCTCAAAGTGCTCTGAAAAAAAATAAATAAAATAGACTGGGGGTTTAAAATACTTTCAATAACAAAAGCATTGAAAAAAGAGAATATGATAAACCCCCGGTACCGCAAACTCTTACCCAAAAAAAAAAAGCCGCGTGTCCCGAATAAATTAGCAATGTCTCCCCCCCAAAAAAAAATCCTTAAAACACCCCAGCGCAACTCCACCCGAAAAACTTGAAACTCACCCCGAGAATATCTGAAATAAGTTTTTCTCTTTCCCCCCCAAAAAAAATCGAGGGTAGTACAAAGAAAAATTATGAGGTGAACACCGGGAGAAATTTAAATCCTGATAGAGCGAATTTTGAGGTGAACGTTGAAGAAGGATATCCATTTTTCGTTTGATATGAAGAGAGGGATTCTCTCACCGCTTTCACGCCCATTTCTTTCACCCCTTTTTCACCCCCTGCCGCCCATTTTTTTTTTACCAACCCCGTGTAAGAAATGTCGCGCGCAATAAACAATTGCGGTAATAATGGGAAAAATTTCCAACGCACTGAGAATTTTTAAAATATATCAGTGCATGTGTTTGGAGTCTTGTCTATTCGATTAAGATCATTACTTCCAAATGATTAGTTACACTGTACAGGTGTATGCACAACCCCATGCAATTGGAAACCATCAATTTTATTGATACAATACCCCCCTCACTATCTCACGCTGAGCGATACACAAGCATTTAAACGGCCGATTGGTATCACTCATAGTTCAGAGGCCATAAATTATGTCATTAAACACAAGCGGCATAAACCTACCTGCAACCCCCTCACTCACTCCCCCAAAAACCACCCCATCCCCAAATGGACCCCAATTTCTTCTCTCTGATTTATCCGAAATTTTTTCCAATTGTCTCCAACTGTTCCAATTGTTCCCAATTTCTCTGATCAATTGTTCTTCAATTTATCACAATTTTTTAAAAATAAAATTCAAATAAATTCTCACAAAAATTCTCGGGTATTTGCGCTGAAATTTTTTCACTCAACGACAACAGTAGGAAATTATTACTGACAATGATCTCTCGGGTTTTCCTCAGGGCGTTGTTGTACTTTTCATTGGTGAATTGCACTTGAAATTCCACGAGATAAAGCACTAGGAGTCGACACTTCCTGTCCGGGTAACGCTGTACCGTGCACTGTGCTCCGACAGTTCGCAGCCACCCATACGCCTATCAAAGTACTCTCCCCCTTCCACCCTTCTGAGTACTCCCCCTCCATCCATTTCCCCCCCATATTCCCCTCTGTGCGACCCCTCTCTGGGCCACATAGGGGTTGAAAGCCGTCTGGGTACTTGGGAGTGTTGAGAGCGCGTGCGTATCATTCAGAATTCCTTTTTCCTCCACCTAAAAATAAAAAAGAAAACAAAAAAAAAACAGCGTGAACAAAAAAAAAAATCATACATGTGTTTTTGCATTTAATCTTTTAGTCACATCACGAATTTTTCTCTCTCTGTATTTTACCTCTCGCTTCCACCAATCGTGAGGATTTTTCTTCTCCTCTCTCATTATTTATGGCATTCTCGATTTCCTTTTTTCACCGTTGGGAATATATCGGTGGGGGGTTGGCGATGGGGGTGAACGGGAAAGGAGGGGGAGCAGGGGGGCTATATTAATACCCACAACTGCTCAAATTTCTCGTTTAATTGTGGGGTCTATGGTATTTTGAGGAGCACCCGTGGGACGTGGTACATGCACCTGATGATGGGAATGACGCAGGCGCCCAAATGGTCACCAATGAGGGGGTGGAGGGAGGGGGAGGGGGAGAGGGGAAGGGCGAAAAGGGGAATCAGGGGGGTTTAGGGGTTTAAATTGCAAGGGAGAACAACCCCGCCCCATAAAAGACCAGGGGGAAAATCAGACGATTATGGGGGCCGGGGGGTTGGGGGGGCGCGGGGGTGGTAAAGGGGAGGAATAAGCGGTTTTATGCTCGTACGGTGGCTTTATTACCTTTGCTGTTATCTTTTAATTTCCAAAATCCTGTAATAATGTTTTTTTTTTTTTTATTCAGCATGACCTGGTGACAGTCTCTTTCATCCGGGGCTTATTGTCCGAGTTTTTTGGCCCGTCGAACAAAAGTTGATGGTTAATTTAATTATTTGGGTATGGGCATCGGGGTTTTATTGAAAAAGTTTTCGAGGTTTTCAGGGATAATCGTTGAGTTGAGTTTTTTAATTTTTTAATGGAAGCTCTGGGTGGAGTGAGTGAAATTTTATTACGAGGAGTTACTCAATTATGGAGAGCTAGCGGATGTGTGGGGTCTGGGTGCATATTTTCTGGGGAATTTTATGGGGAATTGAATTTATTTATTTTTTTTTTGGCGAATCATGCGGTGGGGAGCCAGTGGAATGCCGGCAATTGACATTTTTAACATTTTTTATTATGGATTTTTTGAGGGATGAATATTTATCGGGAGTTCGGGGGGGAGGCTATTTTTGCAAGAATTTTAATGGAAAATTTACGGGTTGTTGGGGTGATTGTGGTGGGAGTGGAAATTTTAAGTCGGATGTGCAGAATGTTTGGATTATTTTGGGGTGAATGGACTTTTCGGTGTCAATGGAAAATTGGAGGGGTGAAAGGAGGTCGGGAAATGAATAACTCAAATTTTCTGGGGGGAGGAATGTTTAATTCATTCTCAAAGCTAAATTCCAACTAGATATTCCAGCATCAGATATTCGGTCACATTTCAGACACTTCTGTCCGAAGACTGAAAAAAGCGACAAAAAATTACGCATTACTCCAGTAATTAGGGACAACCATGCGATAAAATGAAATATTCTCGGGTAATTTCTTACAATCGATCGAAGTATTAATCTGAATTTTTTATGTTAATTGAAATAAAAAAAAGATAGAATTACTCGGATATCCTTACTAATAATGAAGGGATAACGGCTGCCCATCAACTCACAAAACATTAATAATTAAGTCCTTTTTAATCACCTGAATAATGAACTCGTGCGGAAAATAGTAACTCCAACGAACCTAATGAAGATCGATCGAATGATTAATTAAATAATCGAAGAACTAATTTTCCATTCGTGCGTTTATCACTTTATTTTCAAGCGATCAAATATAAACGATAAAAATTCAAAGTAATGATTTTTTTAATTAACACAAAGGGAGAGGAATTTTTATTCAAGTGATGAAAAAATTCCCGAAAGTTTACCATGTCCAAAAAAAAATATTTTTCACATTCTTTTGATATTTGCATCACGCATTGAGAATATTTTTCATCGAGACTGCAAGCACTCGATCAATTAATTACGAAAAAATAAATATTCGGGTTTCACCGTGAAAAATGTTATATAAATGCAGATTGAATTACTGGAGAATGGCGGAAGTTATTGGATGAAAATCGTAGGAACCGCATAAAGTTTTTTTTATTTTAATCAATCACTCCAGAATTTTATTGAAGGATGGAATTCAATAATGATTGACACACGTTCGATAACTGGATTTACTCCAGAATTTTTCATTGTTTAAGACTCACCAATTCAAATAAAAGAAAAGCCACGGATTTTTTTTTGAAAATACAATTTAATCAAGAACCTGTGCCATAAAATGACGGATTGACATGATGAAAATCGTTCAACAAATGGTTTTATTGCGGAGAAATTTATTCAGTCACTACCACATCTCTTCCATAAAAGTCTGTTATAAATGTAATTGGCAATAATTAATCCCATGTCTGCGTAAAATTCTCGGTTTTTTATTTTTTTTTTTATTAGACTAGAATGCTCGTTCTTTTATTATTGATAATAAAATTCATCGATGATTGATACCTAGCCATAAAATGGGGGATATTGAGTGAGTATTCATTCCCCTCGAAATTCACTCAATAAATAATCGAGAATTAATTGCATTGAATTTCGCATTGTAATCATGATTGAGAATTGAGTACACGGCATTGTTAAAAGAAAATCAATTGCGCAAATATAAAATTGTAAATTCGGAAAAATCTCCACTAGTTGTGGCAATTTTACGAATTGTAATAATTACTTTCATCCAGCGATTTTCCAATTCGTAAAAAAAATCGATTGTGATATTAAAAAGAACAATTCAATGAATCCAGGATGCAGACTGAAAATTAATGGAATAATGATCGAAATCGATTGAAATTGGATATTTTTATTTCGAAAAAATGATTCGATACATTTTATCGTAACATCAATGGAATAATGATAAGACTATCGGCACAAGTAGTTGTTTTACCCTGGGGAATTCATAGATCACTTCGTATTCCATGACCAGGAGCTGGTGGGGGACTGGTAAGAGAGGTCAGACCTCCAGCCGGGTCAGCAGCAAAACGAGTAGAAACCTGGGGTCCAGGTGGTGGCCTCTCACCTGACTTGAATTTATTTATAATGGTCTTCGTAGTTTCTGGTGTCAGGTCCTCCTGAAATTAACAATAAATTTCGCTATCTTGTCTCCATTTATTCCAGTCATTTAATTTTTACGAGAATTCAATTCGTGGACGTACTGTTTGCCAATAAATTTGTGTAGAATTGATTAAAAAATAAAAAATAAACAAAGAGCATAAAAAAACATGCTTAACTTTTTGAGTGCTTCGATAGTTTTTTTTATTCTAGTTCTAGTCTCATTGAGGGTTGTCGAATAGATCGGGGTCAAGCGGTCATTTGTAGTGGGTCATGAAAGTTGGGGAGATTTTTTCGTGGCATCGAGGGATTATTTATTTATTTTTTTTCATCGGTGATTATCGAGGGACTTTTCATGAATCTTTGGTAAGTGAGATACTCACCGGTTTATGGTTTAAAGGTGAGCATTTACGAGGCTTGAATTATCTATTGAATATTCCGCGTGCCAGTCCCTTTAACCGAGCATTTTTCGAGGACCATTACACGTCAGTTTTGGGGGATAATTTTGTGGCTCAACGAATAATAGATTTTATGGAATTATTCGATTGCTAGTTGATAAATAACAATTAATACACCTGTTTTCATTCAGTCCCTATGATTTATGGTATTCATTATTGAATTTGATGGGGGAAATGTTATTTTCAGATCTCGACTTCGATTGTTTGGATTCTGCAAAATTAATTGGGCGTAATTAACTCATAGGAATGAACAGGCTGGAATAGAATTTATTAACGAATGTATTGAAGTTCTGGTGGAGTGATTAATTATGCCGGAGAATATTAAAGCTTTTTGGTTGTTGAATTTTTACTTCATTGTGGATATCACTGGGATAAAGTGAATTACAACTCCATCCAAAAATCGATGGATACAATGGAGTAAAAGTTTTAATTGCGGAAAAATAAATCTGGTTTCATTAGACGTATGAGAATCCATTGGTGGGCGATTGGGCATAAAAGGTTATTTTTCAAGAGTTTTAACTATTCACCGGTCTTTTCCATTCCCGACTTCCGATGAAATAATTTATTCTGGAAAAACTTGAAAATATCAGACTTCAGAAAGATTTAAAACCGAGCGAAGCTTTTGCAAAGATTTTTTTTTTATCTTTTTACTTCTCGTCTTTATCTATAATAAACCCAGAAAGTACTTCTCATGGATCTGAAGATATTTCTCGAGAACTCAACTGAATCGACTTGTTACACTTTACCACTCCGCTAATGAGTTATCTGTCAACTGGCTGAAAGGATTCGAAACTTCAAGAGAATTAACGTGAACTCGAAGATCTATTTTCCTCGCTCTTTTCCATCCCTCATAATTCCATTACTGAGTTTTCCAATGGTGAGCTGAAGTTCCTCCCGCACATGCCAACTAGCACTCGCAATATTTCGAAGGACCAATTTATTGTCAATTACAATACCCCCTAATTAATTACCAACCGAAAATATCTCTCCACTTGAATTCCCCAAGATTTCCATAAAAACCAACTAAAAATTGAGGTATAAAAAATATTGAATATTGAGTGTTCAGTATTTTCTAAAAATCCATAATTTTATCCGAGCTGTGAAACTTCCGGTAATGAATTTAACCCCCTCAAAGTGCAATACACCTCCTCCCTCAGTTGATATTAACACAAATTAAGTTAATGAATGAGTTAAGGTTTTTCCCTGTCGAAAAGGCACCGGCAGTTTGAGGAAGGAATTCAATTCCACTTTATCAACAAAGTCCCACGCCCCTCCCGTGAAATTTCAAACGACACACTTGCCAGAGAAAATGCAACTGGGACTAGAATTTTAAATGCCAACTCAAAGCTAAACTCAAGTTAGACAACTCGAGGTAAACCCGTGTATTTAGTATCCATATTTAATCATGTCATACGTACGTAGAAGTCGTCATTGACCTGGAGCATCGGTGCATTAGCACAAGCACCGAGGCACTCTACCTCGGATATTGTAAACAATTTGTCTTTCGATGTTTCACCAACTTTACACCCAGCTGATTCCTCAACGGCCTTCAGAATAGAATCAGAATCCCTCAGCCAGCACGGGGTGCATGTGCAAACACCAATATGATATTTTCCCATCGGTCTTCTGTTGAACATTGTGTAGAAAGTAGCAACCTCGTAAACTCTCATATTCGCAACATTAAGTATCTCAGCTACTTTGTGCATTGCGGAAATTGGTAGCCAACCGTGTTGCCTTTGTGCTAGATCCAGGAGTGGTATCATCGCCCCTCTCTTGTGACCATCTGGATATATTGCAAGGATTGCATCGACTCTCTTCTTGTTCGCATCGTTGAACTCAAAGGGAATGTTTGGATTATCATATTCCGTGTCTCTGTGCTGTTTTAAATCATTCACGCAATTTAATACAATCATTTCACTGGACTTGGATTGCATGATCAGGATGATATGATTTTATTCTCTCATGTCTATTGTCAATGCAGTGAAGGACAGAATTTCATATTCAATGATTAATCGACAGGATTTGAATGATATATTCAGGAAAGATGTACATTATTTACAAGTGTCAACAGCTACCACAGCCCGAGGGCTTTTACACTGATCTATAACTCAGGACTTATGAGCTATTTCTCACTGGGAGGGTGCGATTATGGGAGAAATGGAAGTTTAAAAAAACCCCTGGGCTGTGGTGAATGGAATAGATTGAAAGCTGCAATCACAAATGTGAGGATTTATTAAAGGGAGAGCAAGATTGACTTTTCAATTTCTCCCTCGTCAACTCTCGTTGTGAAAACCTAAAAATGTTCAGGAATTTCTCAAATTTCACGTAATCAATTTATCGTTATTGACAACAAAACCCGGGGCATTCGTTCTAGTCTTCCCTTATCCCCCTTTTCATTTCTGTTCATCAATCGGAAAGTCTTTGAGGGTTTCACTTCGCATTATTTATAATTTTCTGGGCCATTAGAGGGGGAAAAATCCTCGAGAAGTGAATAATGGGGACTGAAAATAAAAAATTTCGACGTGACAATTTTTAAAGAAAACCCCTGCGAGTTATTATGATTGTTATGAGATTTTCTTGATTTATTTAATTTATTAAATGAAAAATGCGACCAGATAATTTCTGATTTCCACAGATTCGGGGAAATAAAATAAACTCAATAAAAAAGTTGAAACTAGCACTCGTTTATCCTCAGTTCCATTTCAATTCCATAGAAATCCTTTGATAGTTTTATCTTTCGTTATTTCTAAATTCCAACTAGCTTCTCACTTTTGTGTTCATTATATGGAACTCTTTTTGCCAGAGTTTTATTCATCCGATGAATGAATTCTCTCTGAATAGATTGTTTTTGCGCTGGCCATTCATTCGTGATGAATCCAGCTTTATAATTCAAAACAAAGCGATTGGAGGTGGAACCCAGTGCATTAATTACGTTTGTACCATTTTACATTATTGCAATGTATTTTTTTTCTTCACTTACTACAAATAAATGATCAGATGCACGACTCGCTGACAGCTGTAGCTGCCTGACATTCCTCAGTGCCTGTCAATTGACACAATCAGTGTTTTATTATCAAATTTATTCATTATGTAAGACGAATGGGGGTTATGAACATTGTTTTTATAAATTTTATTATTCGAAATGAAAACGAGAAAAACTCACTGTTAGGCTGCACTTTTTAGCAACTGACGACAGCATTTTTGCACTTTTTTCACACTTTTTGTTGATTAATTTTTCTTTTATTGGGAGAAAAATAAAATACAAACGAGTCGATGACGACCTACTGTAAAATACTGAACAGCTGATCTGTGCGCAGGTGCAGAGGCTGCGCTCGTCGTCTGCGCAGATGGGAAATTCGAATTTTTTTTGTATATATCTTATAATAAATCGCGAGTGAAAATATGGGAGAGTTTTTCCGGGCTTTTATCCTGCTTGAAAAAAAAAAACAAAATTTACATGGTGAACGTTGTTTCCCGCATTTTTTAAAAATCCATTTCACCGCGTTTTTCTATAATCTATATTATAAAAAATAGAATTGGTGGTGATATAAAATATATAATAAATCCGGGATGAAAGAATATTTTGTAGAAAAAAAAATAATAGCCAACGAAAAATTGATAATAAATTCTGTCACTCTGATAACTTGAATAAAATAATTTTTAATTATAATGGCGAATTAAATATTGGTGTTTGATAATAGGTTTATTTCCATAGGCATTGGGGCACTCAATGATAAAGGAGTCATTGTGAAATTGTTCCACTTGCTGGAGCCAGATGTCCGGAATCTCTCGTGGAAATAATACCTGAATTACTTGGCTTTTGTTTCATTACCTGGCACTGTATTTTCTTCTATACATATATTGAGGTGGTATCCCCCCAATTGCCCCTAAAATCTTCCTATTGTTTTGCCTCCTCTATTCTTGTAGACTTCAAATAGGTTTGTGTACTCATCAAAATAAACGTCCCTCTTTATCATTCCAACCCGCTCCTCCCACAGGCCCCCGGGGGGTACGAAAACACAATCGGATTTGGGGTAATGAATTTTGGGAAAGTTTCGTATCATCATGAATGTAATATTAAGTGGTCTAATTCATTTTGCGAGGTAATTTCACAGACAAGTGGATTAAGTTGCTTTGAAAATTCTACGGGTGGTGTACACCCGGAGTACATCGTAAAAAAATTAATTACTGCGGGGGAGAGAAATTTACCCTCTCAGTATCAACCGTGAATTTATTGTTTTACTCATTCATGAGAAGGTTGAAGTGGTTGGTGGATTCTCCTAAATGTTAATAATCCAATTCAAGCACTTCTGCGTTTAGTAATAAAAGTATGAAGAATGGAGATACTCGCGGGCATTTTATTATTTATTCTATTAAAATTTTATCTGGAGGTGCGAATTTTATGCCAGGATAATCCATGAAAATTTTTTTTTTCATTTCCACATTTTTTCAGCTTCTGTAATTTTATTATTTCTATTCTAGGTATTATGGAGAAAATTATGTTAGTCTCTCATGTTCCGTTGTTTCCATTTTTCCATTTATTTCTAACGAAATGAAGTTCGACCTCGATCTGATTACAGGTCGATAATGTTTTTAAAACACGACATCAAGTCCCCACAAACTGTCTCCGGGTAGTCGAGGAGTATTTAATAATCCTCTCCCGTAAATAGACATATTAATGAGTTCAAAGATTCGATTTTTGCGAGAATAGACTTTTAATTCGGTCCACGAGTGACGATTGAGACACAGCAACACAGAATCGTAGTAGAAAATGTTTATTGAGCATTGTTACATTTTATCGTGATAATAGTGACGATGACAGTGATAAGACGATTAACAATAAAGTTTATGATTTTGCGAAAAAAAAGTAAATTACGTTCCCTCAATTAAAAAAAAAATTGATAGAATTCTCGTCGAGTTGACTAGCACAATCATTAAAATATTTAGAAAGCAAACGAAAATAATTAAAATTAAAGCGTTTAGTGCGAATGCGTGAGATAAGATTCGAATAAAATGAGATAAAATAATGTTCTTCTCTTCATAAACGTAAATAAATTATGATTACATAACATTTAAACAGCGACAGGATAAAATCATGAAATTAATTCAATTGTCACTTAATAGTCATTTTGTCAAATCTAAGAACGATTTTTCTCTTTTGTCATTTGTAATTGTACAGTTGTCATAGAGAAATATATGTTTACAAATTCCAATAAATACCGTTTTTTTTTCTCGTGTAAAAAAATGCTTACGAGTTAGTCCACCTTAGAGTAGAATTTCGAAGTTGATGCTTCGTTGAAAATTTAAGTTTCTTTTCATTAATAGAAATTTCACAGTGGAAGATACAATTTTTTAAATCGGTAACTACTAGTCTTACCCTACAGTCATTTGACAAATAATGTCATTGTCATTTCTTTTTGTATCATTTTGTGGAATAAATAAGTGTTCACTCTTAAGTTTAGGGGATTAAATAATCGTAATTCTCGTTTTTTTTTTTGATTTAGTCGAATGAAGTATGAAGGGCGGTGGGTAAATTCGGATGGAGAGTGAAATTATGAGAATAATGAGAATTCAATGGAAAAGTGGAATGGGTATGACCGGGCAAGTGAATTCATCGAACAGAGCGTATAATACAATTAATCGAATTCATAACAAGAACAATAACAAGAGTCACCAAATCAATTTGAAAATTCAAAGATATATATAAAAAAAACTGGATTATTCTGTCCAGTGGTATTTTCCAAATGAGTTTCTACTAAAAATTATCTTTAAAGTTGTGTTTCTTCATTTTTAAAAGGGAGTCTATCTAAAACAGACCGTTGGAAATATTTTGATTGAGATTTCGTTCATTGTTTTCCATAAAAACATCTTTGAGCATAATTATTATTGTATAGGGGTTAAACCAGCGAGTGAGAGAGTTTTTTTTTAAAAAAAAACCTCCTCGTTTTATAACGAGACTAGACACAAATTTTTGGTCCAGAATGATGCGTATTTTGAGAAACTCACAATTGTCGATTTAGAATGATTTCTCTGTGTCACTTTTGACGGTGTCTAGACGATTTTGAAAGAATGATTTTGGTCCAGAGTCATGAATAATTTCGAGAGAGTCAAAGACGTCGATTCTGGTCTGCTCACCTCCGATAATTAATCATGATTCATGCGGCTGTTTTAGGCCAGGCAATTTTGGCATCGATCCGCTTGAAGGCGAATAGGCAGTGTGACATCTCCTGGGGGCATTCGTGATCCCCAAGAAGTGTTTCTGAAAGCAGAAAAATGAATAAAACAGAAATGAAAAAGTCAGTATCGTAAAGAATCCTGGAAAAGTTCTTCAGCGCGTGTTTTTGAATGGAAATTATCCATCCCAAGTTGAAGAAGTTGCCTGCATTTCAGTCGTGATAACTCTGAAGAATTATAAAACTTGTGTATTCAAAGGGGAGAGAACTTTTTTCCTCATTTTCAATACTTAATTCCGTCCCTCCAGGTTTTTTAATTACAGACCAGATTAATATTATCTTCTAATTAGAATTTTAATAGATTCTTTATTACCTTCTCCCTGAATTAATTTGAAGAGACCATAATCTTGGGGATTAGTGCATCGTATTTTATGCGCAAGAATACGGCAAATATCACGTGTATTCATATTTGGTCTTACAGGCAGTGTTCGTGTGTTCAGAGAGCCATGGAGCTCATCGGGTATTAGAACTCTAAGTACAGAAGAACGACAGTCAGGACTTAAGGTTAGACCCTGCAACAGAAGCAAATAAAATTCAAATTATTTTCCAAGATCTTGAGAGAACGAAGAAGCGAGTGAAATTTTTCCGTGAACCTTTCCTCCTCTTGCTCCATTCTGGAATTTCACTCTACAAAAAATTTCCAGTGAAAAATTCCACTACATCTTCAACATTCGGCGATATTTTCAAAATTTCATATTGAGTTATTGAATTTACAGTGAACATGATTAAAAAAAAGGCGAAATGCGTGGTAAGTGAAATAAAATAAATCTATAACTCACGTTATTCGTTGACATTGTTGCTTGACTATTCTTGAATGTCTTTAGCACATGCACAGCACTGGATAATGTAGTCAGATAATAACCGCCTTCCCCAGTCAAAAGAGACGGATGGAGGAGACCCCACATGAATTCCGCTTCAATTTCCGCATCCACCACTTTACCTCGCACCAGGACCCACACGAGAAGTGGCAATAGATCATCAGCACCCAGTGTCACATGTCTATCCGAATTAGCATCTTTTACGGAATTAAATATTGCCGATATCGCCGATAATAGATTCTCCAATTTCTCCAGGGGTGAATCCGAGTACCGCAGGTGCTCTATGTATTTCAGGATTAAACTCAGGCTTGCGTCAGATGGTGGAGTTATCGTTCCCTAAAATACGATATCAATTAAATTTCCTAATCCCCCCGACCTCACTCCCCCGGAAATAATTATATTTTATTATTCATTATTTCTAGATTTTTTTTAATTCCAAAAAAATAATGACGCAATTCCAATTAATAAATTTGAAGGAGTGAATTTGAAAAACTTGGTGATGATTTTAATTAAGATGAAAAACTTGGTACTCACTCTAACACCAAATTCCTGAATATGCTTTCCCTGGGCAAATTGTATGCTCTCAACAAGTGTCTTGAGAGATCCAGTTGCTCCGTAATGATCGACGAAAAGTTTATAAACATGTTCCCGAAGAGGTCTTACAACGAGTCTCATCATGACACCCTCGAGAATGGCGTCCAAATTGAGAAACTCGTTAGGCTTTAGTTTGAGCCTCTCCTTCTCAACTTCCCTCTCGAACTCTCTCTCACCATGTTTCACCAGATAATTCTTCATACCCGACATAAATTGACGGATATTCCTCATGACAATATTGGGACTTGCTTCTTTACCCTCCATCGTGCATTGAATGAAATTATCGATATTCTGGGAAAATGTTGTTGTCTTGTCAGCGGCGAGCAAAAGTGCATAGGCTCTTATGCTTGTACCGATACCACCTGCGTCCCGATTCTTGAGTGCTTGTAGTCTTGGTGGTGCTATTGATAGAAAAAGATAAGAGGAAATAAAATTTTAAATTCATCGTCTGAGAGTTTTTTTATCCGGAGGAAGGTAAAGTGGTGGAAGCTGAGTGCTTTATGTCACTGTGTCGACTGGGGCGGAAGGATGATGATAATCTACTCAGGCTTAATGCTTTTTCAAATAGATTAGTCTCAGTGAACTCGCGATATTCGTACTGACACCGATAAGACAATTCCCTCTGAAAACTACCGCTCCGTCTAATTTATATGAACTTCTGGGGCAATCCGACGTAATAAATGGATCTAATAAAAAATTCAACAATGAGTGTTGAAATTTATTCTCTAACTCGTGTTGCATTTTATTTGCGGGGAGAATGTAAACATCCTCGGAGTAATAAAAATATTGATGGACTAGCAGTTTATGACGCCGTAATTTTCACAATGCAATGAATAGATAAGGAGTATTTTATCACAACGACTTGGTCTTTCGTTTCCAATATTAATTTCAATACACGAACACTATAAATTTATTTCATCTCCGCGAAAAAGGATAAATTCTCTGTATTCTCCTCAAAAAATCACGTACTTCAATGATCATTCGATTTCTTACATTTCAAAAGACCTACACCTCTCTGGATTTTCCTGTAGAAAGCCCTGAGCCACACTCCAATTTTTTTAAACATATTTATTTACTCAATTTTTGCACTTCAAAAGGAAATAAATTGGGACTCTTGTCATCGTAACGAAAGACAATTAAATTTTTATGATTATACGAAGAGAATTTGAATTCCAGTCGGAATGATAATGATTCGACGACATGATGCGTTGTCTGACTAGGGGCTCTGGCAGTTCAGAGCTCCAATGATTCTGAATTTATTCAGGGTGGGGATAAGCTGAAGCGCGTGCTAATCTCGAATAAACAAATCACACCATTGTCTTTCTGATATGTTCACTGATGATTCAATAATAATAGAGAGGAGCCATTTCATTGGTACTCACCCAGCAGTGGATCCAGACGATTTTTAAAGGTGACATTACGATTTATTCTCTCGTGATCGCTCTCATCTGTGTCCACTGTCTCCGAGTCAAGGGGATAGTAACTGTCCGATAATTCATTCTCATTTACTCGACGTTTCTCAACGTTGTCGTAGGAGGAATTTCTGTCACTGTGAATCGATTTCATCGTGTCCGTGGATTTGAATAACTCTGGGTATCTGCAATAATTATCATCGAAAGATTTTCATTATTTAATTGTTTTATTCCCCCGGAAATAATTTAAATTCAATTCAGAATTATTGAGAGTTATCGTTGAACAAGTGAAAAATCAGCGCTCAGGCTGATGACAAACAATTTCTGGTCCAGCGATTACATAAAAAATAAATCATTCTCCAAGGAGAATTAAGAATCGTATTTAAATCGATTTCCAATGCCCGGGAAAATTTAATAGATCGTATTTGAATAATTTAATGAATTTACCTTTGAAAAATGATACTCTGGACATTAACACTGCTCTGTCCCCTGAACGCTTCATCCCTGGGAAATTTCCTGACAGCAATATCCGCAGAGGTTTCAGATCCACACTCGAAATCGGTATCATTCTCAGTTTTTCCAGTGCTGGACTCATCGACATCCTCAGTATCATTTTCCTCCTTGCTCCTGTATTTTTTATGTACAATATCATTAAATTTCTCCTCGCCATTGATCTCCTTGACATCTCCATTGGCCTCTTCGTCCTCATTTCCAATGAATTCCCAACTGGAGTCAACAGGCCAGGAAGCATCAGTGGACATTTTGGCTCTGACCTTGGGTGGTTGAACGGGTTTTGCCCTGTTGGGTACTTTTTTCTCCTTGGCAGCGAATCTCTTCGCCAAATTATCGACTGACGATGAGATCAGTGGTATCTTGTCTTCTGTCTCTTCGCACTGGGACCAATCAGTCGGGTGCATCTGGATACTGTTTGCTGTTGGAGTTTGAAACCATCCGGGCTCGCTGTGACGATATTTACTTGATAAACACGAACTCTTGTGACGTCTTCGTGTTACTAAGCCCTTTTCTCCTTGTTGAATTGCATCAGCTGGCTCAGCGTAAAAAGGACTGCTCAATTTTGATTCAGGTGTCATTGGACTGTTGCTCTCTGATTTTGTGGACATCATTTTTGTTTTTGATGCACTGTTGTTTGCGCTGTTCAGGGAATTTGCTGAGCAAACACGGGAGAGAAGATCCGGTCGGCGCGGAACGATTGAATCATCGGGAGATGTTGAACCTGGAATTAATACGTGATTTATTTAATTGATGGTAATTATTATTTATTTGAGGGGAGAGAAGGCCATATATTTCTACAGTTTAGTTCATACGGTACTGTGAAGGTACTTGATATTCTCAATAAGGAAATGGTGAGCTGAGATAAGTCGTATGGGTTCTCTGTCATTCTTATCCCGGTTTACCAACCTATTGGCTTGTTCATGTAGTAGCAATAACCGTAAATTTACAATAGTGTTCTCAATTCCGGAAAAACAATACTGTGCTCCTGATATTCATGATCTCGATATTTTAGTGGAAGTTGAGTGAACAACTTTGTGGTTGCAGTCCTGATTTAAAACAGCAATAAATACAACTCTCTAGTAGGAATAAAAAATGGATTGTATTCTCAACGATTTCTATCAACCAGATCTTTGAAAAAATCATTTTTCTGAATAAAAAAATTCGAATCGCTCAGAAAGAAAATTATTATCTAGTTTTATTACGAGTAGTAAACGCAACAGCCATTTTATTTCTCAATTTTATCCCTTACATGTCAGGAAAATTTTATATGGAAATGTAAACACCCCAGAAATTTTATCTCGAAAGTTCTGAGATATTTTTTGAAGTTTTATGTTGAAGTAAAATTTTCAGACCGTTAAAAAATCTCTCCAACATACCTCTGGGGCTCTTATTCTCCACACTAGGTTTAAAACTACTGAACTCAGGACTAGTGATCTCCATATAACTGAGTTTCTCCCTGGACCTATCCGCCCTATCACCCCTCAACAGCATGAGTCGATCCCCACTCAAGGATTCCCTAACACCGCTATCAGAGGGGCTGAAAACCCTCGATTCAGGACTCCAACAGCTCGAGTTAACGGACCTCTCATTAGTCCCCCATATGTCCTCATAATCCGAGACCTTGTCCCCCGGTGAGCTTCGACAGTAAGACTCAAGTATATCAGACTCCTGATAATGCTGTGAATTTTTCCTAGCCTCACGATCCCTTCTGCGTCGTGATTTACTAGTTGACGATGGTGTAGCTGGTGACATCAAATTGGGAGTTTTTTTCTCATTACTGACTAGTTTTGACGTCGGTGATATAACCGGTGACTTGTGATTCCTGCCAATGTGATTTGGTTTACTGCTCTTATCCCCATTATCCGAATAATGTGTCCCATTATTCTGATTGACATTCAGCGTTATGACTGTTGTTGTCGTAACAGTGACATTACTTTGGCTCTGACTTACACTGGGCTTTGCCCATCTCGGTGGAGGGGGTGGTGGTGTTTTCGTCGGTTGACTGTTAACGACCTCCTGATTGCCAAGAACGATTGTCTTAATGTCGAGATCTTTGGGTCCAGTTGGATCGTTCAAATTCGCCTGGATACTGGAGTCTATCGTTGATTTTGAATCTGTTGGGATGAGTACGTTGTTTTCCACGTTGTGAACAACTGGTGAACGACGTCGTACACTTTGCACTAGGTTTGGTGAGATTAGCTTGTGGCAATTCTTGTCCGTTGAGAGGATTACCTCCAGCTGGGACTTTTTAGTCTCTAGGGGCTCGTTTAGGTGGGTCAAGTTGAGGGTGTTTGGGGGTGTTGGACGAGGCTGACGAGGGAGAGAACCCAGTGTGCACGTTCGCAGTGATGAGATGCTCGCTGAAAGTTGAGGGGGAGTTATTCAGATGTTTGGATTGAGTGGTAGAGTTTATGGGGATAGATGAATCAGATGTAGTAAGTCGTGAGCAAATACTGAGAACGAGTCAATTCTTCATATCTTGGCAAATATTTACTTCTCGTGGGGGTGAATTTTACGGCGCATTCAGACGTTTCAGCAAAGCACTTCAATTGTTCAGAGTTATTTCACTCACCAGCTGCTGATTAATACCGATATCACCGTCAAACTTTCGTGATTCAAAAAAATTATTCAAATTACTCAATAAATATATCCCGTAAAAAAATTTTTTTTTCAATTTTTTCTTGAGAAAACAGAAAAAAAATGATACTCTCCATTTTTTATCGGGAGCTATTGATAAATCTTACTTGAGTCATGAGCAGATATGGGCACGAGGTTCAGCACAATATTTTTTCCATTGCTGTGTCCATCATTTCCGGTATGAAAGCTCGTCAGACTCGATCCATTGCTGCTGGTCGTACTGCCAGCACTCTCCGGTGATTTGGGATTTGCCATGGGATATCTCCAGAACTCCTGACCCAAAAGCGCCAGAGAGGACAGCTGCTGTCTATTCTTGGCATCTCGCATTGCTCGAGGTAGAGTCAGTTGAACAGGTAACTCGTCACTGCTTGACAATAACCGAGGTGATTATTAAAGTATTTCCAAGATACTGTGAAACGTCTTCTCGAAATCGAGTGTGAATCACTCGGACTGTTGCACTATTCATGGCGATACCCAACAACGAGGGGATAATCGAAATAGATTCTCTAGGCTACCAGGAAGTTTTCCAATTCAGAGTGGTACATGACAATGCAATTTGCATCGTACTCCACAAGACTCTTGAGGAAAACAGATAGTTAGCAGTGAAATTTATGAAGGAAAAATACCCCATTAAAATATTCACGTCTAAATAAAATTCAATATAACACGCTGCATGAATCACTTCTGATGCATGAAGATAAATTTATTGGAATAATATTACTCACCAGCATTGCGCGTAATGCGCAATGAGCGAAGGAATGTTATCAAATCGATTGTCGCTGGTTTCAAGGCTCAACTTCCCTTTATTGGCTTGAATGAGGTAATGCTCGATGTATGGACCCTTACCAGAAGGGAGACGAACGGACAGTGCCATTGTGTCACTCTGACTGGACTGTCTGACAACGAAATTTCCCTCCTCCTTTCCCTGAAGAAGGTGAAATGCACCAGCTCTTTGAATCCCAGGGAGAAACCATATCGGATGAGATCTGATTATTCTCTCGATGAGAGTTATGTCACAGGCAACTTCACTTCCTGAATCTGATCGGGAAGATGAGTCAGCTGTTGATGTACCCTGGACTGATGAGCCACCTTCAGACGACAGGGACTCCGAGCTCTGGAAATATTTCATGTGATACACAGGCAGTAAGAAAAATTAATTGGGACCCTGCGTCAATTCCAAGATATCATTTCCTCATTTTATTTATTATTTATAGACTTTTCTGGACTGGTCTCCCATTCATTTGGATCATTCATCCATTGTCGAGGCTTGAAGGAACCTCAAATTTCCGTTAACCGTCTATCCACTGCAGAGTTCACCCTACCATGAGTATTGAATCTTTACCAAGGGTGCAGGGAAATATATTGACATGGCACGAGGGAAAGGGACAAGCCCTCAGGCATTTGTTCGTGATTTCCCTGTTCGGAGGGTATAACTGAGATTATATCACCTCCCAATCGGAAATACCAAACATCATTCATATCCATTGCTGAACACTCCGCAATAATTACGATTAGTGAGTTATACAGGATCGAGGGATTATTCTGTCAAAATATAAATAAATCCTTTTTTATTTATGCTAAAGTAGCGGACACTGGTTGAATAATGCATGACCAGTGATTGCCAGAATTTGAAATCGGGTTGTCACGTTTTTGTTAAACCCCATTGAAAAAAATCCCCATGACATGCCGTAATTGCAAGAGATTCCCCGTGGATCTCCCCTCAACAATGCCGAATTTGACTGATTGCGGCTTTTCCCTTCCCCATGTAACAATGAATGTACCTGATTTACATGGTGCATGTGGTTCAATTGCTGCTGCATGAGGGGATTTGGGGGTGGAGTACGAGGTGATCCATCGGTTTCCTCGACAGTTCTTCGTTGCTGCAGGTAAGGCTCCAAAAAAACATCGTTTCTGAAAAAAATAATAATCAAATAATAATAATAAGACTGCGTAAAAGTTATCGCACTTCAATTACAATGAAAATATTATTTCACGGGATCCTTCTTATTTGTTGCTTTTACTGTGGAGATTAAATTCCACACGAGCATGCGATCCATCATAAACTGACCTCGGAGTGGAACTGGTGGTTCCCATCGATCATTTATTTATTAAAAAAAAATTTATCGGAATCCCTGTTGTTGGAGGTGTTCATGTCGGTTTTTTAATTGAAATAGATCGAGTAGTTCTCGAGAGATTTTGAATTTTTACGAATTCTTGGGTGGAATTCAAAAATTCCCAGAGGATTAATTTTTTTAACAGCAAAGCAATGAGTTATTTTTTCAATTTATCATTTTATGTTGTGAAATTGGGGATAATTTAGACTTGAGATCCGAATTTCAGTGGTATTTGAACCCTCCCGACGAATCCCTTGCACTTGAGGCATCCTAAACCTTCACCTAGAATTAATTTCCCCGTTAATTTCCCCATCTCCGCGTGAATTATTCGAGTTCCATTGGAAATCTCAACCAACCAGTCTTCAAAGAATATCCGTGCAAAGAGAATAAATAATAATCATAAAAAATTTTTCTTAATTACCGATTTATCTCCGAAACCATTGATTTCCCGAGAAACAATGAAAAACCATTTTTCCTCTAAAATTGAATTCCTCAAAAAAAATTCTCTCGACATTTTCTCCCAAAACCGATAATTACCTAGATCTATCAATATTAATTAACAAAATAATAACAGTCCATTAATCAATTTCTCAAGAGCACTTCCTAAAATAATAAATAATAAAATTTCGAGAGTTTGAAGAATCATTAAATCCTGAGTGGCACATGAAAAAATCACCCCTGGAATGAATTTTCCCCTCAATTTGCCGATTGCCATTAAAAATAACTCGAGTTTCATTGAAAATGCCTCCTCCAGGGTGGGTGGAGTCTTGGATGTAGTTAAAAATTCATGGAAAAAAAGAATGTTGAAATCAATGAAAATGTATACAGAGCATTTGAGGCGAATGTTGGTGGGTGGCCACAGAGAGGGTGGTAGGTGGGTGGTGAGGGGGTGGTTTGGCAAGGGTGAAAACGCAGTGTCAAAGTGAGACAGAGAATGAACAGTGAACAGTGTGGCTTCACCAGTCTCTGAACGGGGGTTGCCATGGCAATTGGAGGTTCTCAACACGTGCTATGATATTTTCAACCGGCTATTTGCCGGCATTACCATTTCTCCACCGCAATATAACCATCGTAAAACGTAACTCAGCGTTATCTCCAATTGCTCTTACATTACTTTGTGCATGACAACAAATTCCAAACGATTCTACGGATTTTGTCAATTTTTTTTATCAATTTTTTTCTCGCCAACTCTGCATATTTCAGTGATATGGGGAAAATTTTATGGGTGACATTGGATACAGACCTCTCTTAGCTCTTTCCCGTTACTGGAGCACCAGAGGAGCGTAGAAATGAGAGAGGAAGCAGAGAGGACAGCGAAATCGAACCTCAAGAATGGATTCTTAAGTTTCACACTGGCAGTCAGAGCGAAACGAGATTGAATTACAACACAGTTGGTTGATTTTACGACATTGGCTTGTTGTGGAAAAAAAAACATATCAATTACTTGGGAATTAATTGGCTGGACTCTGGGAAAATTTTGAGAGAAATTTTCAGCCGGGAGGCGTGACATTTACTCCGGCAAATCGGGACACAAGAAGTTTCCGAAATATCTGCGAAATCAGGGGAAATTCGAACATTTTCGATATTAACTTTTTTATAGAAAAAATTGAGACCTGGAAAAAATATAATTACAAAAATTTTTGTATCTTTATCGGATTCGGAGATATTTCCAAAAGACGCGGAGAAGAAATAAGTTGATGTCTATTTCACTAATTCTGAAATCAGAAATTCATTCGATTATTTTTCTCAACAGATTTTTTTCAATCCATCGCAATTATCCAAAAACATTTCTCTAAGTTTCCGAAAAAAAAAATAAAAATAAAAAACAGAGCGAATAACTCCTAGACCTCGCGATCTCCAGAACCTGCCGGCAACCTGAAAACCCCTTGACTCTCTATTACAAACTCCAAGAGAATTATCTAATCTTTACCTTCTGACAGATATTTCAGCATAACGAGCCCTAATCCCCCGACTTGTTGCATTGCTATCCCCTGGGCTCCTGCAGAGAGTGAGAATATCTCCACCGATATTAAAAAACGGAGGAAGCATTTAAAACTCGTGAAAAAAAAAACTGATATCACCGAAAAAAAAAGCCCATAACACACAAGAAAAACGAAAAACCCGGGACTTCCCAGGAATAAAAAGATCTCGTAACAGCGACTAGACGAGAGCCCCACGTCAAACCCGTCAGCCACGATTAAAATTAGTCACTGGTGCTCCAAAAAAAAAATTCCCCAACCCCGACCCATATAATTGCATAAAAATAATTTTCAATCCAACTGTTACACTTTACTGATTACTTCATAATTTAAAAACTCCATAGACACGTGCTCAGCCGAGTAAATAATTCAAACTGACACAGATGTTCATTCAGAGAATGAGCTCTTTACCTTCAGCATCAATTCATCAACTAAAAAAATTTACTATCACAATAATTCAACGACATAATACGTGGAGTTGAATAAATAGAGCGTTCGCGAATTATCACAAGAATTCTGAGCAAGATGATGATCTGGGGTGTGATACTATCATCGTGGATGTGATCGTGGCACCGGTCGACGTCGGACTGGCTAGTGGCGGCGTCGGTCGGCGTCGTTGTACCGTGATACAGAAAAAAATAAAAAATAAAAGAGAAAAAACGGAGACGAGGTGGGACGTAACGGCGGCGGCGTCGATGACGTAGGGGGCGTCGCGACGCCCACCTACACAAGCACAGGGTTGTACTCAGAGACGAGCTATACAATATCACCCTCTGCCATTATCTGTAAATTACAGCTGCAGGGGAATGCTTCTTTTAATGAAAGTGAAGTTTTCGCTTTGACAGAGGAGAGATTAAACGCACTTCTGTCATGACAATCCATGACTGAAGTGGATGTTCATTTATCATTCATACCCATCAGGTCCTTCACTTCGTTTTTTAAATAAACCCGTTCCCTCAGTGATTTTTTTACAATGCTAAGGAATTTCTAAACTGCCTCTGTGTTTTTGGATTTTTTTTTTTCATGACGAGGTCAAGGTCATCGAGAAATTAAAGGGTCAAGGTTTTTGGGGTAGGATGATCTGGAGTGAGGGCTTTTTTTTATTTAAAAAATTGCATTGGTTGATGCAGAATTTTTTTTTTAAAGGGTTTTACGGATTGAACGCACTTTTGTGATGAAATCTATCCGGTCCAAGGGGATGTTCATTTATTATTTAGATTCATGGGGTGGAGCTGGATGGGAACTGGATATAAGTTAGAAAGAAATTGCCTGCACGTTTAATAATTCAGTGGTTGAGGTAAAACGATTTGGGTCAATGACTCCTCGATAAATGTATCGCAGTCTGAAGAAAAGGGAAAAATTCCCTGAAATATTCTCTTCAATCCGACAAAAAGCATTTTTTCTTGGGAATTTATTCTCCACAATTATTTGAATTCTTCATAATTTCATTTGACACTCGGGCTGTTTTGTTGCATAATATTAATTTTCGTCTGGAGAACTAATGGAGCACTTAGGTTTATTTTTTTAATCATCTTAACCCTCGAAATATGGTTTTCACTGGCTTTTCCCAACCCTTATCCTTTCAACCTTGTCCTACCCCCGCCATATCCATTAAGTTGCATATGCGTACCAGCCTAAGGGCTAAAACCACATTTAAGTGCCTCAACTTGACAAAGTACACCATACCTTGTTGAGAGAATGACGTTAATAAAGATCCTCCACCATTTTCAATTAACCACTTTCCAAAATATAAAAAATCCCACAACATGACCCACGAAAAAAGTAAAACTATCCCCAACCATTATTTTCCACATTAATAATTTACCAAACAACATCAATAAATTGTCACCAGTCCATCCAATCAAATTCATTCAATATAACAAATTAAAAAAATCAAACGCAATCGAGGGAGTGGATAAAAAAAAATTCCAGTGGTTTTCCAAAAGTTTCTGTAGAAATTATTACTCTGGAATTCAAATGGCAAGTGAAGAAATGCAATAAATTAAAAGTCTGGTCGCCTCTAATTACAGCAAAGTACCAAACAATTCATGGAAATGGCCATTCCCACCGAAACCTCAACAATGTAGAATTATTTAAAGGTACACCTGCCCTCGAGGTCTAAACAAAAATACGTAAAAATTCTCCCCGTTTATTTTCTCCTGTCACTATTGATTTTTTTTTTTACATACTTCCGGTGTTTTTCGTGTGGTACACCAATTTGTTATTCCACCCTAGAAGACATGTAGGGCAAGTAGAAAAAGTGGCTCGATATATCAGACAACTTTTTTCTCTCCACCACCCGCGTTATTTCTTCATCTCTTCGATCACCAAAGGCTCAACTTTGATGATTTAAGGATCCAATAAGCGATATAATAAACGCTCATTCCCGGATTTTAATTAAACCCTCTTGTTGCGATGATTCATCTTCAGCACTAATAACCCGTAAAAATGAGACGGGGATGATAAATTTCATCGGGGGTGGGAACAAATTTATATGTAAAGCGAGGTACAACAAAACAACATGTAAAAAGTGGTGGGAAAAAGTTGGAAAAAAGCACGGGGGTCGTGTTTATTCGTGATGGTGTGTGTGAGTCAACGAAAATTCTTGTCCTTTCTATATTTAGAGCTCATATTTTGTCGGCTGGAAGTCTCTCGAGGGCAACTACAACGCGAAAAGGCATACAGCGTTTTGGTTAATAGCAGGGAGGAGAGAGGGGTGAATTTCATCTCTGGGAAATGAAAAAAAAAAAAAAAACATAATAACAATGGCATGCCCTTCCTACTTTGCGTAAGATGTTGAGACTCTATCACATAAATCCGCACTTTTTCTCCGGGAAATTCATACCCCTCTCACATTTTGGGGTGGAAGAAACTACTCAGGTAAATAATGAAAAACGAAGAGTCATTCGGATATTTCCAGGAGTTTTTTCATTTCCTGGGGTGAGGGGTAAGTGGAAAGTTTTACTTTTGGGGAGACAATTCGGATGGAGTCATTACTGGAGTAATGGCAGTTCTTTTTTTTTTTTCTGTTGCGGAATTACATTTTCGGAATGGAGTTGGAATGTTTTAGGTATCGATCATTGGGAATAATCCTGACATCCCTTCGCTTCATAAAGGCACTTGTTCTCGAGGACATAATTCAAGGGGCACAGGACAATTTAATCAGATTTAATCCTCGGGTATAAGTCATTCCAGCGATTATTTCGGGGTATGAATGGAGCAGATTCCACAATTATTTTTTGAATAATCACTCGAGGATTCAGTAAGAAGAATTTGATGAGGATAACGGGAATAATTCTCCCAAAATCAATATTTATTTCAAATAAATTGCAATTAGCAATTATATCCATTTCATCACCAAAATCATTACCCGATAATGATAATAATATTTTTTTTTGGGAGAGCCATTTATTTATGCGCGAAAAGTAATAACGAAAAATCCAATTTTCCCCGAAATTCTCCTAACGATAAAAAAATTACATAAACGAGAATTGGTGACGGGATAGTCGAGAGAAAAATTAGGGGATCCTTCCTAAAACTAGAAATCATGACCCATAAGAGAAAAAAAAAATTGGTTTATTTAGTGTTAAATGGTTTATAGCGCATTGACGGGGTGAAATGAGATTTTTTTTTATGATTCATCGGAGGAAAGGCTGACACTTTGATTTTTCTCATATACGATAACGCGACAACAATAAAAGGGAATGTTGAAATGGGCCCTGAAAGCAGTTGAAGCGTTACGGAGATAAGTTGAAACAGTGTCTTCTGTGTGAAGGCAACCCCCGGTTAAACTTTGGAGGGAAAATGGGGAAATGGTATTCCTCCCTCAGTGTTTCATGCTCTTATGATTGCGGGGGCCATTGAGGGACCGTCTACTACCTTATATTTTCATCCCTCGAGAGGGATATTGTATTCAGTCGGGGTGCCGAGGCTTTTTTTTCTCTTTTACCTTTTTTTTTTATGAATCCCGGGCTATTATTTATAAAGGCGCATTCACCCGCGGACATTGATTTGAATTAATGTCTGGGGATTTTTGAGATTCTTTCTTTCAATCGAAAATTCGGGATGACTGATACGATTTATTCTGGATATTCAATTTAGGGATTATTCAGATGAATCGATGGGCGGTGAAAATTTTTTGAAATATTCATTCAATTTTATTTTTCGGATGAGAATGGAACGCCTGATATTTACCATTTTTTATTCAATAAATAAAATCCTGGGACTGGGAAATTATTGTTATATAATAATCAATAATTGCTGCGGCTTTCTTTTTTAGTTTTAAAGTTTCGAATAAAAATTTGATTAACAGATATAATTGAAAATAAAATTGCAGATTTAATTAAGAGAAGAAAATTTAAACTTCCTTTCAACCGCGATTGATTTATTTCGGTTCGCCACATCAATTTAATTTCAGTTATTAAATTCATCGAATCTGTCGGATATTGAAGATTTAAATTAAATACTCAAATTCGCAGGGGGAATATCAATGGATTAATGGCGTGAGGATAATTTGAATAGAATTTTTTATGAATTCAATTTCGATAGAAAATATTCGCGTGATAGAATTGTCCTGCGGCGATTGCACGAGATTTCATGATTGAAATGAAAAGAAATGGAGAAATTGAGTTGTTTGCGTGAGAGGAGGAAAATCACTGAATGTAAACACAGCATGCGAAGATCAAGGAAGTCTTCCGATTCCGTTTGATACTGAGGAGCTTCCCCTGCTCCATTAGCTCCCAACGTACTATGATAAATAGATTTTCCCAGTGAGATTGAAACAGCTCGAAAGAACGATTTATCCGACGATCAAATTTCCGAAGAATCTCGACATCCAAAAAAATTCTTTGGTACCTGCATATTTATTTAATAAATAATATCCCATTAATCTTCATTTAATTAATTGCATTCAACAACTGAACAATTTATTTTTATTCACAAAATAATTTTAGGATAGAGTGAGCGACGAAGCGAAAGAAATGAGAGCGAAATGAATTTTTTCCAGCGATTTTTCATGAAATTTTCCCTAAACCTCACGAAAATGGTTGACATTTTCAATTTGGGGGAATTTTTTCCCGGGAATAGCCCTCTGGTTCCCCGGAATTTCATCCCTTTCCAATTGCCGACGAGATAAATCGCCAGAATGAGTAATCTCATGCATCCAGAAAGAAAAAAAAAAGGACAAGGAATTTTAATAAAACGTGATATGAATCCTGGTGGCTCTCACAAAGGGTCAGTGTAAATTTTCCACGTTCGTTTACGCTGTACAATTATTAGATATTTTCTCCAATGAAAAACACCAATTACGAGCACGTGGTGTACTATTACCCCTCATGTACAGAATTTATTTATGCGTAATCATTGAGCACTTGCGCGTGACTCGAAACCATAGCACCAGTTGCCAGCTGTTCGTTGATTTCGTGCAATAGTTTGTCGCTCGGTTTATAAAATATCTCCCCCACCTTCAATCCTATCTGGTTAAATTAACCACTCTGTATACGTAATAGTTGGGGGAACGTAAACTCACCTTTTGAAACGATCTGTCGGGCTACTGCAGAGCTCACTTAGCATACAGTCCAAATCACTCGCGAGGGAATTTAATAACTGAAATGGAAAATTATGGAAATTCATCAAATTCATCTGATTGGATTTTTATTCTAATTTTTTTATTGCAGCCTCTCTAACCCGAGAAATTGTCATTCCACGAGATCATCTGAATTCCCAGATGATTATAATTAAATTCAATTATCAATAAATAAAAAATTCCGGGCAATTAATGATTGAGTCCTGGATATTAGCAATTGAAAAAATAATTTCTGCGGATGGAATTGAAATTGAATCGACAATTGGATTTTCTGATTACTAAAAAGTGAATGGAGTAAAAATAATTATTGGGTTTATTTTTACGGATTTACATTAATTTCGGGAATTATCGGAATTATTGTCTGGATAGAGATTTTTCGGTTGATTGAAAATGCCGGTGTAGTAAAAATCGATAGCTTATTTGTCTCGTACGACAGGGGCTTCTCTTAATTGAAAAAAATCCTTGATGAAAACTTACAATCAAGTAGCTCGAGGCATTGCTACCAATCGATTCCCTCTTTTTCTGATTTTGTGAGAGACAATCCTTGTTACCAACTTGTGACATTATCGTATGACTCTCATGTTAGTCATCCCACGTTCTTGAACCGATGACAGATCATTGGTTAATCATGCCGACCAGCATCTCTGCAATTAAACAAAAAAATGAGATTAATATTGAGGGATGTGAGTGGATTGCAAAAGTTTTTTCATTAATTTCATACATGTGGCTTTGTGGTCAAGTATAATCGAGTTTTAATGACAGTCTCGGCTTGTGGCTGAGAGCATTAGTGGCTTCCGGTCCACGTGCCCTATGTATTAGACGACGAATAAAATAAACAGCATTTTTTAATACCAACAAATTCAATCGGATTTCGAGATAAAAAATACCGCGTGGTGATGCAATTATTTTTACTCATGCGAGATTTTTTTTTCGCTTCCATAAAACCTGGAAAATGGAGTTCGAATCGAGTGGAACACTTAATTAACATTTAATTAACATTTTATTTATGTCAGAGAAAGTGTTGTAAATTAATTCACTGGCGCATTTGGTCTCGTAAAAATTATTTCATTATATCGAATGAAGGGTGAAAGGGTGAAGGGTGAAATGAAATCGATTTGGTGATTTGTTGCAAATTTTTTTCACAAGGTCACCAGGAAAATTGCGTCGAAGATTTTATTTTCCCTGAGATTATGTCTTTCAGATGTCTTTCAGACTATCCACATAATACTGGGTAATGCACGAAATGTTTCTCATTGCACAACATGTATAAGTGATTGAAGATAATGAGTTACCTTTTTCTAATTGAGAGTTTGATACACCATTTGTCTGTGGAAAGCACCTGTAATTTTGGTGGGCTGTTCACCGGCATTTCCGTCGAATTAAATGGAGTATATAAGCGATTTTTTTCATTTATTTCGCAGTTTTCCGCGATACGGAGTTCTCGCGAAATTTCGTGATTACAAATTCAAAATTTAACCGAGGAATCGACAGGTACCGACGTCAAAATGAAAAGTGGCATTTTCCTTGGATTAGCGATATTCTTTGTTGCTCAGAATTATCAAAATGCCGAGGCTGTGAGTATTGTTTAATAATTTTTACAAGAGCATAAATTTAATGTCTCCATTTGCGAATATTTTGAACGTTCGGATCTGAATTTTAGATTCTGATAGAATTATTATAAATATAATAAGCAGTTATTGGTAATTATATTTAATGATTTCACTTGAAGAAAATGACAATTCCGCAAGTAACAAACATGTTGGTACCGATGAGGAAGACGTGTACGCAAAAAATAGGGGTTGCTCCAGGTGAGTAGAGAGTGCATTAATTGGGATTGCCTCAAGAGAATTGTAAAAAAAAATTATTACAGAATTGATCGATGCCCCCAAGACTGGCCCAATGCCCGACGATCCGACATTGAAATGTTACTATGCTTGCCTTCTAAAGATGATAAAAGTCGTAAGTTTGAATTATCATCCAAATTCCTTCATCTCATTACATTTCATCTCCTGATTTTTTTCCGTAAAATCATGTTGACATTTTTTTTCAGGTGACGAAAGAGGGTCTTCCCAATTATGAAAGCATGTTGAAACAAATGGACATTATGCTACCAGCGGATGATACAACAGCACGATTGAAAGAAGTCATAAATATATGTGCACCTCAAGGTATTTATAAAAATATAATAACAGATCCTTCGAAAGAAAGCGAATAAAACAAGTTGAGAGAAATTTGAGTGAAGTGAACGGCTTCAATAATTGTTTAAAAACGCGAGGTGGAGGCGCGGCCATTTGCAAAATCAGTTGAGCCGGAGGGAGGGGATGACGAGCAAATGGCGGCGTGCAAATCGTTCAGCCATTGTGACAAAAAAATTTGTACATGCGGATAACTTCAGAGATATCCCTCAAAAGGGAGGGGAATTTGAATAATTGGATAATTGTGATATGTTGACTTGGCTCTTCTGACATGAATTATTCATTTCCGCAGTCACAATTAGTTCTGTAAATCTTGTTACTGGCGGGAGGAATATCGGAGGTATTCGAAGGTTATGTTTAAAATAAAAAACGTAAAATATATTTTACTTTGCAGTAACGAGTACTGAAGCCTGCGATGGAACCTGGCAGTTTATTAAATGTTTCTACGAGACGGATAAAAATGCAAGTTTATGTGGCATTTACCATGTGTAATGTAAACACTGGGGATTTTCTAGAGTTGATGTGATGTACCAATTTCTTTGCAGGTCTGCTTTTTCCCATAGAGAACCCAAAGTTCACTGGAAACTTTTTCGTAATCGATCCGTGCACCAACCGGGCGTAACATCAACGTGAATATAAAATGTACCAACTAGGATGGAAAATAAAAAGAAATCATTTTTCAAATGTCCATAGAGATTCAATCGTTTTTTATCATAACGCAGACCAATATTCGTCGATTGACCAATTTTTTTCTATTCTCAAATTAATTTTAGGACAGAGGAAATAAAAAAATACGAAATTAAAGAGAAAATTCAACGAAATGTTATTTCACGAATTAAAATATTGTAATAAAGCATTATAAAAATAATGGAGTAGTCTCCATTGATTCGATTAGATTATTCTCTTTCCTCATTTCTTTAGATAGAAATTTTCTATCGATTTTATTGAATTGATTTATTCGAAATTCCGGTCAGGCGTTGAGGTGGAAAATGATTACATGATTCGTTGGTGTCTGCCATTAATTGGAATTTGCCGTTAATTATGCAGTGCTGTCTGAAACAACGCAGTGTTGAAGGCAAATCGTTATCACATGAAATTATCAAGGAAGTGCTTCCTGTCGTGCTAGAAAAACACGGGATCACGGTGGAAAAACTGAAATTGTCATCTGTCGGGTGTTATTCCAGTATAAATATGAATTGTTTGGAAAAACACCAGTCAATTCTGGTAATAACCACCTGGAGCGGACACATTGTTCAATATTCATTCAGCATGAGAAGTGGAGTGTTCTTGGTTGCTCTTGTAGGGGCTTTCGCTGTCGTTGTGAGTCGAAAGTTTCTTCAGTTATCGATTACCGTTACATCGTAGGGGAATTGTTCATCGGAAGTGGTGGAGAGAGGATGAATTTGAGGATATCCAAGTACTCTTACTCTGGTAGTTGAACATTTAATGGTTTTATTATTCAAACTGGTAAAAGGTCTTGAGTACTTTGTCATTTTTTAACTTTAAGACACATTTCAGTTATCGGATATTAACTCTGGAAATAAATCCATGAAATATCCGGTAAAATATACGAGAGAATGAAAGATAGAAATTGACAATTGGTTTTTTTTTGTATTTATTGGGGGAATGAGATTAGGAGAATGAAAATTAATTGAGGTTTCATCTCGCGAGTGGCGGGGAATATTTTGGAAATTTTTTCATTCGGAGAAATTCAATGAAAATGGAATTGCAAGTGAGAGAATTTCTTGGATGTCCTTAATTCCTCATTATTGAAACGATATTCTGGAAGTGAAGTGGCAGAGGGTAACGAGTTGATTCAGCGAATCTGAGGAAAATTTTTCGTAGACGTCTTCAGAAAAAAAAGTGGCCATTCCTTTGTGATTCCGAGATATTCTCCCCAAAAACTCAATTAACAGTCGAGTCCTGTTACCCTCTATCCCTTCAATACTGATTTCATCCCCTAGGAAATTAAATAGTAGTTAGAAGAATAAATAAATCGGCGTGTCGAGAGTTCAGTGGCTAAATGGTGAAGCAAGAGATGAATCATCTTAGCTGGACGTCTATTTTTCACTCGATATCTTGAAATTCGTAAAATATTTTTATCGGACCGGATTCCAAGAAAATTAGACGGAACTGTCATGCTCTCCTGATATTTTTTCAAAAATTTTGAATTTGAAAATTTCAGTGAGTACCTCCTCGGATCTCCTGTTCTCCTGATACTTTTTCAAAAATTTCGCATTTTCCAATTTCAGTGAATA